CTTCTTCCTGGAATAAGACTCCACTTACCGCTATCTAAGATACTGCTACGTATAGGAACAACTGCTCATCTACCTTCGGCGGATGAAGCAAAGGTGGACTCGAAAGGTACCGTTTGAGTTCTTCCAAAGCTTGTTGGCACTCTGGGGGTCTACGAGAAGATATTCTTCTTCTTCAATAATGAGAAGAACTGATGGCTCTTATCGGAGGACCTTGAAATGAATCGACCCAGGGCAGCTATACGCCTGGTTAGCCTTTGAACGACATTGACATTGTACACCACGGTTATGTCTTCTATGGCCTTGATCTTGTCGGGATTGATCTCGATCCTCGGGTTGGACACCATGAATCCAAGAAACTTTTCGGACCCAACTCCGAATGTGCATTTCTCCGGGTTCAGCTTCATATTGTATTTCTTCAGTATGTTGAAGGTTTCCTACAAATGTTTCAAATAGTCCTCTGTTCATAGGGACTTAACTACCATGTCGTCAATGTAAACCTCCGTTGATTTTCCTGTTTGCTCTTCGAACATCCAATTTACTAGGCGTTGGTAAGTGACACCAACATTTTTTAGTCCGAATGGCATTAAGCTATAACAATAGGTACCGTATTTAGTGATGAAGGAAATCTTTTCTTGGTCGCCCAGATCCATCCGGATCTGGTTGTACCTGAAATAGGCATCGAGAAAGCTGAGTATCTCATGGATGACCGTCACATCGATCATGCGGTCGATGTTAGGCAAAGGAAAAGAGTCCTTAGGGAATGCCTTGTTCAAATCTTTGTAATCTACACACATTCTTAATTTATTTCCCTTTTTAGGCACTACAACTATGTTTGCTAACCAATCCGGGTACTTAACTTCTCGAATTGAACCTATTTTAAGGAGTTTGGATACCTCGTCTTTGATGAATGCATGCTTAACTTTGGACTGAGGCCTCCTCTTCTATTTAACCGGGTAAAATTTCAGATCCAAGCTCAGCTTGTGGGTAGTTATTTCTGTCAGGATCCGTGTCATGTCAAGATAGGACCAAGCGAAATAATCTATGTTAGCTATAAGGAATTCGATGAGTTTTTTCCTGAGCTCGGGAGTTAGCCCCGTTCCCAAGTATACCTTCCGATCGAGCAAGTGCGCGATCAATCTGACTTGCTCTAGCTCCTCAACTGTTGACTTGGTGGCATCAGAATCGTCATTTTCACCTTTCTTATACTTTTCTGGCTCGGTCACGGCTGGTGTCAGTGATTTCTATTTGGTTCCTTCCTTGGTGACCGAACTCGGGTTCTTTGATGTTGAGAGTGCGGATATAAGGACCACCTCATCGACCGCGAGCATTTCTTTTGCGGTCGATTTCTCCCCGTAAACTGTTTTGATTCTTCCCAATGTGAGGAATTTCAACGCCAGATGTAGCATCGATGGTACTTCCCTCATGTTGTGAATCCATGGCCTCCCGAATAGAGCATTGTATCTCATATCTTTTTTGATCACGTAGAACTTTGTTTCCTGAACGGTTCCGACGATGTTTACCGACAGGGTTATCCCCCTTTAGTGGTCTCGCATGCCATGTTAAATCCGTTTAAAACTCGGACTATAGGCACTATTTTGTCTTGTAGACCCAACTATTCCACAACCCCCGATCTGATGATATTGGCCGAGCTACCTGGATCAATTAACACACGCTTAACTCGAGATTTATTTATGAGTACAGATATTACTAGTGCATCATTGTGTGGTTGCACGATGCCTTCATCGTCCTCGTCGTTGAAAGATACGGTTCCCTCCGGTACATAATCTCGAGTCTGTTATTCCCTTGTAATGGACACTTTAGTGCGCTTTAACATCGGCTCTTGGGGGACGTCAACTCCACCAAGGATCATGTTAATGATTTGCTATGGTTCCTCTTGCTCGATCTGCTTGTTGGAGTCCATATTCTTGAAGTGATTTTTGGTTCGATTACTCAGAAACTCTCAGAGGTGTCCGTTATTGAATAACCGGGCTACTTCTTCTCTAAGTTGTCGGCAATCTTCGGTTCTGTGGCCATGAGTGCCATGATATTTACACATTAAGTTGGAGTCCCTTTGGGCAGGATCAGATTGCAATGGTCGAGGCCACTTAGTATCTTTGATTCGTCCAATAGATGATTCGATGCCGGCAGCATCGATGTTGAAGTTGTACTCCGATAAACTTGGTGCTTCCTTAGACCCGATGGGTCTGTCAAAACCGTTTTTGCGCATGAGTCCCCGGTTATTATGACCTTGATCACTTCTTCTTTCACTCCTTGTAGGGTTGCGTCTGGACCCATTACTCCTTCGATCTCCATTGTGTGGTTGATACCAATCTCTGTTCGATCTTGATTCATGATAGACGGCTCTTTTGGATCTGTCACAAGGCCTGACGAGATAAACGGATCCGGAAGGGGCCCCGAGCTGATCGTCTTTGACCCTGATTTTTGGTAGGTACATGTTATGGATGTCGGCCCAAGTTATCACCAGGTATTCTATCAAATTTTCCTTCAACTGCTGCGAAGCCAATGAGATTTGGGGATTGAGTCCTTGGGTGAATGCCTGAACGGCCCAATCGTTCGCGACCGGTGGAAGATCCATCCGTTCCATTTGAAACCTCGACACGAATTCCCTGAGCATCTCATTATCTCTTTGCTTCACCTTAAAAAGGTCTGACTTCATAGTCTCGACCTTGATGGCCCCGGCGTGCGCTTTTACAAAGGCGTCTGCAAGCATAGCAAACGAGTCAATAGAATTAGGGGGTAAGTAGTGATACCATATCATAGCTCCTTTTCACAAGATCTCTCCGAACTTTTTCAGCAGAACATATTCGATTTCATCATCTTCCAAGTCGCTCCCCTTGATGGAGCACGTGTAGGAGGTCACATGTTCATTTGGATTAGTTGTTCCGTTATACTTCAGAATTTCGGGCATACGGAACTTCTTCGGGATTGGCTTCGGAGCTGCGCTCGGAGGGAAAGTCTTTTGGACAAACTTCTTGGATTTCTGGCCTTTCAGTATCGATGGTGCTCCTGGGATTTGATCGACCCTGGAGTTATAGGTCTCCACTTTTTTATCGTTGGCTTCAATTTTCTTTTCTCCTCATTCCACCCATTTTGCCAATTCCTCGAGCATCTTTATTATCTCGAGGTTGGTCCTAGGTTCAGCTTCACTCGGCCTTTCTGTGACTGGTTCATTTCTGCGAGTGTTTTCCCACGACGGTTGAGGCTCAACTCTGCTGGGGGCGTGGCTTTAGTTCTGCAACTGGGCTATCACTGTCTGTTGAGCCTATAACATTTCAAAGATCACCCGCAAATTGATTGGGCTCCCCTGTGAATGTTGTTTTCAGGGTCGGTTGGCAAAATTGCTTTGATGGCCATATGTGAGTTAGCATCAATCGGATCCGCCGCTGGAACTCCGTTGGGGTCAACAGGGGGCACCTCGTTGCTGGGCACCACATTGTTGTTCTCGCCATGGTGGCTGGATTCAACATCAACGTTCAAATGGATATTGGGAATTTGACATTTTTAATTTGACCTGAAATTAGTAGCTCAAAGAACAAGTGTAAAATATAGTGTGTTATGAAAATTTGTATCAAATTGCCACTATTATCCTTAGCCCCACGATGGGCGCCAAACTATTTACCCTAAAAAATGGATAATAATTAAATTTATATGTGGTTTTAAGAATATGCGGATTAATTCAATACAAATAATAAATTGCGTTAGATTAAACTGATAAAGGACGTAATAAATTGTCAAACCAATTAACGGGAGTGATCCCGGAGTCAGTAACAATTTTAATGAAATTCGCGCCTTCGATCCCGGGCTCACGATAATGAAGATATGGTGAACAAAAGTAAGATCTTTGAATAACAGAGAAAATAAGAGTATATTGCCTTGATATGCGTGTTATAATGATCCCTAATGATTAGTTAGACTTCTCTTTATATAGTAGGGGAGTTTTACCCTAAGTAAAATTCCAAAATAGGTAAAAATCTTTCGTTTTACTAATTACTAATTTTTTGCCGATACGTGCCGAGATTCACGCATTTAACTTCCGACTGGGCACGGATATCACGACCCTTTGTTTGTCGTGCTCGATTATCTGGTAATGCTCTCCGAAGTTTTGGGGTTCGAATCGGACCTGGGGGACGTGGCCCCGATTCTTCCGAGGGCAGGTGTTTTGCCAGGATCACGACTCGAGGGGCTCCTTACCCCGATTCCGATTCCTTACACACATTTATGCTCCGTTTACTTCATCGGGAACCGAAGCGTCCAAAGGGCTCGGTTTCACCGGTATACAATATTAAAACCTTAGAAACAAACACTTGTATAACTCATGTACACGATTGCACTCTTAATGTTTCGTAACTGACTTCCGAAGGCCTCACCAAATGCCAAAAGAGGTTTTCTCATACTTGTCCTTTAGCAAGTTTTATGAGGTCGATCATTACTAAGTTAAACAACCAGCCAGTGAATAGTCATTAATACCCCTTCTGATTTCTTGGTAGATATATCTCATATGAGGGCACAAGAATGTTTTGATACTGACTTCAAACAAAGAATGTCCTGAAAAGTAACACTCTATATGATCAATTAGAATCTTTTCTGCGGAATTATTTCTTTCCTTATTCATTTTCTTCTCCTTTTTTCTAGTACTCTTTCACTATTTTCATACAATAATGAGTGCGAAGGTTGAACATCTCACTAGAGTTTCTGAAATTCCGTGAAATATTTTCAGCTTCATAATCAAAAATTCAGTGGACTAAATTAAACTCTTCAAGAACTCAAATTTTTGTAAGAAATTCCATCTTCTTAAAGCCTGTAGAAGTAGACAAAACATGACAACAGTCTCACACTAATATTTATTCTGTTTTCGTTTTGGAATAGAGTATATGACTCTCCACCCCTGGCTGGCCTCTCCCTGCAACCTCTTCATTTCTTAATTAACATGATGAAGGGGCTAGAGTTCTGTGAAAGTTCTTCCAAAAATTCTCCTTCTTTATCCATTGAAAATAACTTGAAAGATCATAGCAATAAATCTGGAGGGGTAAGACCATATGTTAGATCCAAAATGCCGAGACTCAGATGGACACAAAATCTTCATCGCAGCTTTGTGCATGCAGTTGAGAGACTTGGCGGAGAAGATCGTACGCTTGCTCTTTTTTTCTTTTTCCTTTTTGCATGTAAACTACATGCATTTGAATGAGTTATAAATTAAAAATGCTTAAAAAGGGGCATTTTTCTTTATTAAGGAAAGTTTTACATTATTCTTTAAAAAGGGGAGTGGACCAATGATAATTAACTTAATTAAGGAGAAAAGTTTCCACTAGCTATCTAGGAAAAGAGTGAGATATGTTTCTAAATATTCTTGGCTGTTATTTATTATTTGTTGATTTGTTGTGTTTAATTAATTTAGGAGCAACTCCAAAGATGGTGCTACAATTAATGGATGTGAAAGGCCTGACCATATCTCACGTAAAGAGTCACCTTCAGGTTAGAGAGAAAGCTTTATTTCTTAAAGAAGAGTTTGGAAATGCATGTTTTGTCCCTTTTTGTTTTGTATATGTAGTTAATTTAAAGATGTATTTTGATATGAGCAGATGTACAGAAGCATGAAGCATGAACAGATGATACAAGGTATATATTTACTTCTTTGGATCAAACTCAAGTTTCCTTGTATGTTATATGTGAAGGAGTTCGGCAAAAATTAACTTCTTTATTTATTTGAGCTTCTTCTTTAAAATTTCTAGTCCTTAAAGCTTAAACGGATGAATTTAGAGGCAACTTGGTTTTATAATCCAAAGAAACAGAGTCAATTGAATACCATATGTCTTATCCGTTATTAAATAATACTAATAGTAATTAAAATAGTGAGTAATGATGATGCAATCAAGAAAAAATAGAGAATTCCATTTCAGGAATCTTTTAATGTTTTATTTGACCCTTAAACAAAGTCTGTATTTAATGTTGATGTATGGGGAGCAGTAGTTTGGCATTTATGTTGAAAACGTTAATTATACCCAAGTGTGAAAATAAGCAAAAATCTAATAAAAACGAAATCTAGAAAGTAAGAACTTGGATACATGCTTGGAAGTTGGAACCACATAATCTATTTTGGGATTATTTTCCACTTTTACATTCTATATTTACTTTTCGCAAAGATTTAAACGGAGCTGTATTGATTTTCTTTTTGTTAAAGCTGAAGCAGAAGCTGCAAATGGGAGTAAGAGGAATAGAATGGATGGTCGAGAGCAAATGAATTATCATCAGTACTACAATATTAATGGCAAAGTCTTGTTTGAAGCCCATTCGTCGCCTACTATTTTGCCTCCATGGTTCGTGAAACTTCTTTAATCTCTTTTCTTTATTTTTTAACTATTCGGCACCCACTGGCCATGGTCTGATCTAGCTAATTTGGAGTCGTATCGCGCGTAAGATTCATCAAGGGAAACACTCTTTATGAATAATTGGCTCCCATGATTTGACCTTTAATTTGGTTATAACAGTGAGAGATCTCATCTATCCCATCACATTTCTTGGTGGTCAAATCTTCTTCTTTTTCCGCTTTGTTAAATTTTTCATATATACGATAATTACTGGTAATAACCGGCAAGTTGTCCTTAATACGTCAAATTAGTAATATGACAAAAATAAGACGGACAACTTGTTATAACAGTCATATGTCAAATTATACAGATTGTGTGAGAACTCTTGCTTAATTACGTCCAATTTGTTTTTCTTGGTTACGCATAAACACTAAAAAAGAACGGCGCGGCATAGTTTTCACCCTTCCCCTTGTTTTAATTGAACAGGAAACATATGCAAGAGACCAAGGAAAATAAGATCATGGGATTGGAAGGAAAGTCTAATCATTACACCATGTTCTGGGATTTCTTCAATGGCTGCAGTGTTCAAGTAATTACCGAAATATTTGGCTTTTTTATATGTTATAATTCTTTAACTTGATACAAGCATTATAAGATTGGTACCTATGACTACTTAACTAATTAGTAGATTTTTTCTGCTTTTTTCAGGATAATGGCAACGGGAATAAAGTGGTTCGAGATGCTAGCAGTTTGTCAAATAAGAGCCCATCTGCTTCAATTATTGAAACTGCAGAAGAGGAAGATTTCTCCAGTAGCACCATGTCCTTAGAGCCATCTGCCAGTTTTGATGTCAATAATCTCTCTCTTGAACTCACCCTTGCTTAATATCTTTTGGTCTGTTCTAATCTCTGAAGAGAAAGGAAGAAAAAAAAACTCTTTTAATCCTTATTTGACTCTCTTTCTCTTTTTGTGGGCTAATCCAACGAAGTAATTAACCTTCTTGTTTTGTTCGTGGAATCAAACTACCGAGCTGGGCTAGAACTCAATTTGTACTTAAATCAGTTTTATAATTTACCTGAGACTAGTTTCAAATTTATGCACCTTAAGCTTCATTCTTATGGTTTTCCTATAGTGGAAGTACATTTATGGAGAAATACGTCTCAGTATAATTCTAGACTTATTAGTAGCTGACCAGCAAAATGTCTTTGATATATGTAAACTAAAACAAGTTGACCGCGGTCTGCCACCGGAAAAGTTTGACATCTCTCTACTATACTTTGTTCTGTCTTTCTCTTTTAGTCTAGCAAAACTATTGTACCTAATACGTTACGAAACAATGAATGTGACAAGTACTCGTATTTTCACTAGGATGAATTCATGACTAGCAATCTTCCTAAAAATTGATGCAACAATTACCAGTGACATCTTACTCAGTTTTTTTGAACATTTTTGAAGTATCTTTAGTTTAAAATTAGATTCTGTGATCAGGATTGAGCTCTATCCTCTAAGCTAAAACAATAATTAAAGTGATAAATAAATAAACAAATATAACATGTAACGATTTTAGTATGACTTAAACGGATTTAGTACTATAATGTTGAAAAAAAAATTACTTTTCTTTTGTTCTAATGTACAATTTATGAATTCCGGATTTGCTGGTGGTACTCTTCTCAACTTTTTACCTTTTATGTCATTTTAGTAATTTATTTTTTAAATGATGACACCGCTTGCAGAAAATTCTGCGTACGCCCCTGAGTTGGGTGTTAGACTCGACCCCTACCATGTCTATTCACAAGAAACCGAAATTACAAAGAGGAGGGGGACATTGACCTAAACCTCCACGATTGAAAAGTGCACTATACGACTCTTTCTTAGCAAACTATGTATTCAACTTATAAAGAAATTACATTTGTTAGGAAGTTGCCACTTATCTAGTTGAAAGTGTCTCTTCACCTCTTTTGGAAGATGCTGAAAAGAGTAATAGAAGGTACCATTTCCACCAGATGAGGCAAGCTTAGCTAAGAAATCTGCCACTTGATTGACTTCTCTAAAGCAATGTTTGAGATGTACCTTTGTTCTATTAACTGCAGCAATGATGTCTGTAATAAAGTATTATATATAGATGTTGAAGTATGTGATTATTTTATAGAAAAGCTTAAACTTAGAAATGACAAATTTTTATATACTCAACAATTATATCTTCAACAATGGAGAATTTTGATAGTAATGTTATGGGTGATTGAAGTATGAGATTTCGTTTGCTGTGTGTTAAACTAATTAGGTTGATCACGAAGTCGAGAAGGGGTTGATTAAGTTATCTTAATGAAAGGATCGATGTAGTTGGCTTCTTCTCTTTCCTTTCTCTAATACATGAATGCACGCACTATATGCATGAGCTACTGATGTTCCTACCTTTAACATTCTTCATTATTGTATCAATTTCTCGACACCTATATAACTTCAGCTTACAAACCCAAATTTCTCACACTCAAAACATCATTTATCTCTCTTAAGTTTATACGACTACAGATCGAAAATGGCAACCAAGATTCTCGTTATCGTTCTTATGATCACCAGTGTTCTTGTTTACCCTACAAACGCAAGGAGCCTAGCAATGGAGGCAAAATCAACAGCTGATGAGCAAAAAGAATATTTTCGGCATCATTTACCACCATTTTTTGGTGGCTTTGGTGGACTTAGAGGTGGAATAAGGCCTCCGTTTGGTTTAGGAGCAGGTGTTGGTGGGTTTGGAGGTGGTTTTGGTCCATTTATTGGAGGTGGTGGAACAAGTACTGTTGGAGTTGGAACTGGAACTGGATTTGGTTCTAGCATTGGAGGAGGCTTTAATATTGGTGACAATGGTGGCAATAATCCTGATGCTAATGCTGAACTCGGTGCAGGTCATGACCTAAGTGAAGGAGGTGATGCAGCAATTGGACATGACCAGCCTTAAATTAACGCACAAACTATATAGTATGTTTAATTTATATGAAGTAGAACAAATAATAGTAGTGACTTCAAATTGCACCTAGCTAGGATAACCATATATTTTATGTTCTTTTACCCAATATTTTAAGTTTTTCGAATGCTGTAGCACGAAATTTCGTAAGTAGATCTCTAGTTACTCTCTGATTAATATGCAAAGTGCAATGATACGTTTGATCAAGGATATTCTTGGATGCTCGGTTCGCGAAAGAAGAATTGACACACATATCCGCACACCTAATTTTGTTAAACTAAAAATAGCCGGCGAAGATATAATATATATATAATATATGTGAAACAGTATATAATCAATGTATAATTAATCTATATATATCGGTAGTGGCTGCATAAAGGAAACCGACAAACCGCACCAAACTGATAATCCGAATCAAACCGAAAAAAAAACCCGACTATGGTTAGGTTTGATTTGGTTTGGTGTTTGGAAAAAAAAATCCGACCATAATTGGTTTGGTTTGGTTTTAACTAAAAAAAGTCAAATCGCAATCAAACCAACCCGTCACTACATGTATATAAGTTTTGAATATATTTAATACATAAAAGTATTTATTGTAGTATAATTTATAAATATTATTTAAACTTTTTCATAGTTTTATCTTTTAACATATTATTTCAATTTTGGACTTATAATTTTTGAATGCTCCAATAAATTTTATTCTTCATAAATATTAGTAACTCAAATAAAGTCCAAAACAAAATCAAATGATCAATATTAATGCTAGCAAAAGATATTCAATTCAATTGAACTAGGAATGACCATAGTGTTAAATATCTATTTTTTAATTTTTTCATGATTAGAAAAAATGCATTTTTTTAGTGTTTACTCATGTAATTAATAATACTTATTAGTCGTACTTATTTTAGCAACTTTATATTTTAGATTATGTTCATTTTTATTATGGCTTATTAATAATATTTTTATGCGATTTTATTATCGTTATTTTTGAATATTTTAGTGCAATGTCATGAATCAGCTCATATTTTATGTTATTTTCTTGAAAAACACCTTATATAGTTCTGTCTTACTTGGATTAAAGAAATATTTGGTTCACAAATTTTATATTTTGTGCTATGAAGACTTTATGAAAAAAAATTCGAAAACCCAAAAAATTCGTGAAAAATCGAGATTAAAAAACCCGACTTTTATTGGTTTGGTTTGGTCTTTAGATTTAATAACCCGGCACAATTGATTTGGTTTGATAATTGAAAAATCAGAACTAACCCAATTTTTATACACCCCTATATATCGGCTAGAAAAAGTAAACAACGAATATGACCGGCTATTTGTGTAACAAGAATTCTCTGTCTTTTCTCATCTATTTTTTTTCCCTTTTCTTTCTAAATGGGATTCATGAAGTAAATCGATGTCTTTTTATTAAGAGAAATACGTCAATTTTTTTTTTTGGCCCTCCCTACCAAAAAAAGAAAAATAACATTGGCCCTCCAATATTGACCTCAAAACCAACCTTAGCTTGGTATATTTATGTTTTTTATCTATGAAGTATGTAATCCTAGCATAATAATTAATTTAACGGAAAATAATTCCAGATCAAGCTCAGGTCCAAGAAGAATATTTATCTTTCTTGTCAAATATGAAATGTTTTAAGTTGTACCAATTTGTTGAAGTTTGTGGTTTGATCATACAAGTTCCAATGGCTCTCCAGAGACGTTACGTTGCTATTCTTGTGTGACGTTCTTGTCTTTCTTTCTCATTCTGTTGTGTACGTACGCTAGTTTGATCACGAGAGATGCTCTTTGATTAAAGTACTGATCATTTACTGATGGGCGAAGGTCCAAATATACCACTGTACTTTCGAAAATAGTTTAAGAATATCTTTTATAATACTATTAGGTTATCTATACCCCTGCAGTCATACTTTGGGTTCAAATATACCCCTCATTTAAACGGAGGGACACGTGTCATCGTCCTGTTGGTCAATTCTAAATATCTCCTAATTAATTAAAAAGATCAATTACCCATACCCGAAAAATAATTTCCTAAAGCAATTTGTTTTTGTAAAAACTGAAAAAACAGAATTGTTTTTACTAAAAACTGAAAAAAAACGAAAATATTTTTTTTTCCAGTTTTTACAAAAAAAACTGCTTTAAAAAAAACTGAAAAATATTTTCTAAAACAATGTTTTTTTAAAAACTGGAAAAAAAACTAAAAAGTAATTTTCTAAGGCAATTAAAAACTGGAAAAAGCTGAAATTTTTTACCTAAAAACTGAAAAAAAAGAAAATATTTGTTTTTTCAAAAACATTGCTTTAGAAAATTATTTTTCATTTTTGTTTTAGTTTTTACAAAAAAATTGCTTTACAAACTATTTTTCAGTTTTTTTAAAGCAATATTTTTCTAAAAACTGGAAAAAAATATTTTTAATTTTTCAGTTTTTAGTAAAAAACATTCAGTTTTTTCCAGTTTTTATAAAAATATTGCTTTAGAAAATTACTTTTCTCAAGTTTTTACAAAAACATTATTTTAGAAAATATTTTCAGTTTCTTTTAAAACAGTTTTTTTGTAAAAACTGAAAAAAAAATATTTTCGTTTTTTCAGTTTTTAGTAAAAAAAATTCAATTTTTTTCCAGTTTTTATATATAAAAAAAAAATTGCTTTAGAAAATTATTTTTCGGGTATGGGTAATGGGTCTTTTTAATTAATTCGGAGATATTTAGATTTGGCCAACAGGACGATGACATGTGTCCCTTCGTTTAAATGAGGGGTATATTTGAACCCAAAGTATGACTGCAGGGGTATAGATAACCCAATAGTATAAAGAGGGGTATTCTTAGACCATTTTCGAAAGTACATAGCGTATATTTGGCCCTTTCCGTTTACTAATTGACAACAAACATTGCACAATTATCTATTTTTCCAAGAAACAAAGATTAAGAAAAACACAAAGGTACATTTGTTTAATGTTTGAACGCCGCTCTCTACAGACAAACATGTGTAGGAGCCC